ATTCCCAACCGAGGCGTTAACCGAGATTAGGTTGTTACAAGATCTTAGCCCGAGAGTGAGATATCCCGATCTCCTCGGTTAAAGGTAATAGATTTTTTCTCGCACCCACTGCTATGAAAATTATTCCATAATAGTTCATCAGAGTTTGGTGTATCCTGTGGGAGCCTTAGACTATCCACACAGCCTCTTCACTTGTAAACAACTTGTAAACATCTCAAAAATGATTAATCAAATAGAATATCGATCAATTTTTACATTGACATAACCTACGTTTTTGTTGAAAATGCACGGATGTAGGTGCTACCTACGCCTACACACGGATGAATACACCGATTCGCAAAATAAATCCGCGAAAACGCACGTAAGGGTACTAGACAGATCGGGCGAGATAGAAAAATCTAGGATGGGGTATTACGTGGGATATCCTTGTCTACGTGGGATATCCCTGTCTGAGGTGAGAGAAAAGATATACCTGTATAATGAATTTGGATAATGTTAATGTAGTGGAAGGTAGGCCTATGCCTTCAAGTTTTTAAATCGAAAAGGTTGGTGACTTACTTTAATGTATGTGTTTCAGAACATGCATCTTTCTCGCTCACTCTGCAAAAACAATGACGGAGTTGCCTTGTATTAAACAGGTTTTGATCTGGTCTCACTTCAGGTGAAAATGATATTTTCCCACCTCAGTTACGTATCAAGAGTTTTCCAAATACGTTTGATATTAATTATGAATTATCACAACACCAGTCGGTAATATCAGATATCGGATGCCCACATGCACATCCTGTAAATACAGGTTTTATTTTTTGATAGAATTCCTGTATGTTCGCATCTAAGGAAAATTCTGTGCCTGGAATTCTGAGAGATCAGAGTGTGTTATAACATCTGTAACATCTCTTTTCATAAATAATAGGAAATTCATGTACAACCATATCATAATCAAGGTGTAAAGGTAATGTTTTCTTTAAAAAACATCGTTTCTGCAGTCATATAAACAGACAAATATTTGAGTGGGTGTACAACCAAAAGCTGGTATGGGAAGACCAACATCGTCATTATTCGCACCCACCTATGAAAAGGTATTTGTGTTTGTTTCAGCAATTAACTGAGTGTTATCAGACTTTTGTTTATCATGCACAAGGGCACAGCCTTCCTGTTCTTCCGCTTCTTCCTGAAATAGTTTAGACTCATCCATATCCAGAATTTATTGCCACAGGGCGGTTTTCCTTTATAATCATGTCTACAAATCCATGCCATGTAGAATCAAGTCCTATTAAAAACAAAAACAAAGAATCAATCAATCAAACCAACCAATCAATTAATAAAAAAAAATTCAATCAATGATATAGTATCAAAATTCACCTATTTTAAATTTGAAGCAACTTGAACTTCATGCCAGCATCATTTATATTGTTTCACGCAGGTGTCCAATCTACATATTTCCAGAAACGTTAAATTATATGTACTGTATATAGCTTTACGTAACTAATTAATTCATTAATTAAATTTATAAAGTATTTGATGTGTCTTGTTTTGAAAAATGTCCCTTTGTGAAGTGACTACAGATAACTTTTGGTGCATTCTAAAGACAAAGTCCCTAAAAATATTATTGTATTAAATTTTGAGCAACAATCAATAAAATGTACATCTGTATACACAAGTCTATAAATAATCTTTATATAATAATAATATAACAATTCATTTACAGGCAACAAACATCTACAGGTTCGATAACATTTGTTTAATATTCCCTCTCCCATACGTGAGGAGAAGGATTTTAAAGCTTTACCTATATTTCCCGATTCAGTCCAATACTTCCATGGGCTGATAATGATGGGCTAACAAACTAAATAGTTATCGTAAATTAGCACATTTTCTATCAATATTAACAGTGACCTTGACTTTTTTAGCACATTTTCTATTTCTATTAATAGTGACCTTGATTTTTGACATGTAATCCCAAACAAATACAGTCAATTGTGATAATTTGAGGCACTGTATGATCAGCCCCATGTGATCACAATATATCACATGGAAATTGAACCATTACCATATTCAAGCTGAATATACATAGAACAAATTAACATGGGGCTTTGGAGTGGAGTAGTCAGACTAATGTTAATAACTTTTTTCTCATTTTTTTAGAAATGCTGAAAATGTTAAAATCCCTACCAATTGCAGTGTTTCATCTTTTTATCTCTTTCCCACAACCACAGGTACAAATGCTATCTTCTTCTCTAGCAATGTTGTTGCCAACAATGCAGTTTCCATTGCTGAGTGGTCCGAATTAGTGTACATTAAAAACCATAGAGGCTGTCGACGCCTTGAAGTCTTTGTAGCTGAGCAGCACCTTCCCTAGACTGTTAATGATGAGCAAAAAACCTTAGAAAAATAATAACGAAATCAACCACAATGCCAATGCTGAAACAATAAGGAGTTTCGTCATATAAATGTTATAAAGCTGAAAATAATCCATTTCTATTTTGTAATTTGCAGCTATTCAAACCATATTCAAACATAGGCTATATAAATGAAATAACACTGCTTTGTTTTGATATCCAAAGCACTTTTTGGTCTTTGATGCATTTTTCTGCCCCAAATGGTACGTTCCATTTGAAGACTACAACGGAGTGACACCCAACTTCAAAGCCATTACCTTATACCATTATGCAAGATTTATTTAATGTTCATCAAAGGATCAAACTAATCTTTTCGTCTTGTCCACAAGGTGTCACAATATCACACATGGAACCTTCAATTTTCCATAACATATTCCAGGGATGCAGAGAGCAGACGTGATCGTTACCCCTGGAGTAACGAGGATAAGATTGTCTGTTGTTGGAGAACTGCATAATTTACCTATTCTTTGAGAACAGGTTAGCTCGTCTATAGTGAGAGAAAAGCATAGCTTGCCTATTATGTGAGAATATCAGAGCTTGTCTATTGTGGGAGAACATCAGAGCTTGTCTATTGTGGGAGAACAGTATAGCTCGTCTATTGTAGGAGAACGTCAGAGCTTGGCTATTGTGGGAGAACATCAGAGCTTGTATATTGTGGGAGAACAGCATAGCTTGTCTATTGTGGGAGAACATCAGAGCTTGTATATTGTGGGAGAACAGCATAGTTTGTCTATTGTGGGAGAACAGCATAACTTGTCTATTGTTGGAGAACAGCATAGTTTGTCTATTGTGGGAGAAACGCATAACTTGTCTATTGTAGGAGAACAGAATAGCTTGTCTATTGTGTGAGAACAGCATAGCTTGTCTATTGTGGGAGAACAGCATAGCTTGTCTATTGTGTGAGAACAGCATAGCTTGTCTATTGTGGGAGAACAGCGTCTAAACATAATGCAATCGGTTTTGATTAAATCAAAGGAGTTAATTTATCAAATTACCTCATTAATGAAATAATTAGTTAATATAAGGTATATGCTCACATGATATACCCGCTCAGTTCCCAGTGATGCGCGTGTGTGTAACAGTACTTCCATTGTTTTCTAGGAAAAGATAGATTTTTTTATCAGCTTGGTAGCTGAAAGCATACAAGTTCGTGTATCTGATGTAAAAAAAACACACCAACAGTAAATTATGTATTAATATTGATATAAAAAAGCTAAAGCCTAAAAAGAACATAGCGTTACAAATACCAAAACAAGGAAATCTGCCTGAACCATGTTTAGAAGCAATGCTATGTTGATAAAAATCCAAAGTTGATTTTGATACTTTGTTTTTGTTTACATTACAGTGTTGACATTCCTGTGCTATTGTGTTATATACAAAATTGCTCTTCTGGTACCACAATATTAGCATAGTTCCCATGTCCTCGTAAATATATCAAATATAGTTTCAATCTTTATTTATGTTACAATAATTTAAAACATGGCTTTTATACAGGGCGAAAGATCCCGTTAACATGTAGTGGTGTAGTTAAGGAACCCGAAGACTCCGCCAGAAATGTCTTAGCGGCCACGACAGATATGAAGTATTCTACCCTAAAGAGCCTTGCCCGAATGACTGTATGTATTTATTCATGTATAAATTCATACGCAATATCTTATTACAATTACTGTAGATAGATGATGTATACGTCAATTCCGCGGCCTGTATTGTACGTGTTGAGTTGAAAATATCAGTAATACTGCGAACCTTATCTCGTTAATAACAAACATGATGAAAGTCACCTCTATGTTTTGATTTTAATACTCATATGTAAAGAAACTAGTTTTGTATATGAATATATTAAATTTTCATTATTTCTGGATTATGATATTCATTTTAATCACATAAATGTAGATAATACAGATTTAACGATACATGAATAGAGATAAAATCTCGAGCAGTCCCAGTCAAGGATGTGAGCGCATTGTTACGATAACGATGATTTCAAATGGTAATAAGTTGGACGTTTTAAAATAGGTTTTTATCATTTTTTGATTGCGATATTTATTCTTTTCATATATATGTATAAAAGTCAAGTTTAACGATACGTGAATAGAAATTAAAGCCGAGGCGATGCCGTTATTGCAAATAACAGGATGCGAGCGCATTGCTGCGATATCGATTATTTCAAATGAAAATAAGTTTGTAATTTTTAAAATATTTTCTCATCATTTCTGGATAAAGATATTGATTCTATTCATATATAGGTATAGAAGGCAAATTTAAGTATATGGTGTAGAAATAAAACCCTGGGCGGTCCCGGTATCAGTTGCAAATAACAAGACCTATGGCAAATTGTTGCGACATCACTGATTTCTAAAACCCATAACTCGGAACAATATATTTTCACTATTATATAGATGTCGTTAATATATTTGCATATGACAATCTCATCTTGAAATAGGTGCAAATAAAAGTTCAGGCGGTCAATATATGGTTCCCGGACGGTACTGGGCGGTCTCGGACTGTAACGAGCAATACCAGGCGGCACCTGGCGGTCCGGGCGGACCGGACTGTAGTTAGTACACCAAACATTTCCTTCACTCCAAGAATGTTTACATCATGGCGGTTCAGCAAACGTATCCCCGATGGTTGATAAATTGTAAACAGGGAATTAGTGATTCAAAGGTAAATATCTATTTGACTATGATTTGAAATGTTAAATTTACGTCTTGCATCGGTATGGTATTAATTTTACCTCCTGACTTTATCTAACAAATACGTTACGACAACATACATGATTTTTCTTGTACAATGTAGGACACCTATTTCACGACCGTGAGAGCTGTATGCTTTCCTAAATGTTCATTGTGTTCCAGAGGCTAAGGAAGTGGTACGGAAACATTGTTTCGCTTTCAAAATTTTCTCACTGCTTTTATATATTATTATTTTAATGATAATTAAGTAAATTAACAATTATTGCAGGAATGGAACACATTTTTAGGGGAGTTACATGAAGCCATCCAACAACAGCTGACAGAAAGTCATGTCCAGTACTTCACAGACTTGTCTGAGGCTGAGAAGGAGCTATTTATGGAAAGGGCCACAGCTGCTATTGAAGGAGGTGTGCAATTTTATTAATGTTTAGATCATACCATTCTCTAAAACAGTGTTGTAACATTGGTAACATCAACCAATTTTTGTTATCAGAATCAAAAAAATAGGAGACAAAAAATAATAAAAAGAAACATGAAAAAATATTAGACTTATATCATTGGGACATATGGCGGTTGAAAGGACTGCTTACATAGAAAATGACTCAAATTTCATCTCAGAAAGACTGATAAATATGACATAAATATATATATCAAAATAGACTTGGTCGATCATTGACGATGAGCTCGAGGTGGCTAAGCTGTTAGAGCATTTGTCTTGAATTCAGATGGTCCCTGGTTGGAACTCCAATCTTGCTGTGCTTTTTTTTCTACCAGGTACATATAAACAATATATCATGTATGCAATACATGTGCATGTATATGGTATGATGTCTGACACTAGTAAACATGCCCTTGAACATTGTGAAAGAGATCAAACAGATACGTTTTAGCTCCTTGAACATTGGTGTTAAAGATCAAACAGATACTGTTCAGCTCCAGGAACATTGGTGTTAAAGATCAAACAGATACTGTTCAGTTCTAAATCACTCAAAAAGGTTTTGTTTTGGAACAAGCAAAATTAAGTTTTATGTCTTTTCCACAATGACCTGCATTAATAATTTGTAATTTAAGTTAGCTTTTTTTATATATGTAGCATAGGTTCATATGACTTCACATTGCAGTTCAGTGTTTAAAAATGTGTTTATTTCACTGTCATAAACAGATAAACCTAAGAAATATTAAACATACATAATCACTCATACTATGAAATAAGGGACATTAAATGGTTAAATATAATAAATGATTATTATGTTTAAGATTATAGAATTTAAACTAACAATCAAGATTCTTACCAGGAACTTCCAGAGTAAGGAATTTGTGATGATGACTGGAATATGTCTCTCTCAATGTGTAACCATCGAGAGACAAAGTAAGAGTGAAGTGGGAAAAGGGCGGTGCTTGGGACATGGACGAGTAGTCCGTGCATGCGCACATACATGCCTACGTACATTTATACCTACATTCCAATCACGTTCCAAACACTGGCGTGACACGCATTGATTTGAATGTGTAGTTATAGTACATTAGTACTGTATATGAACACCTGGCTACATATATCTGTTCTAAGGTTTGTTTTTATATGCTGAAAAAATTATAAATGTAGTGTAAAGTAAATCAGATCAGTTTTGTTCCTTTAGTATGTAATGCTGTATGTGGTGATCCAGAAAGGTAGCTGAAGCTTTACTTGTATATTCCTGACAAAGTAGATAGAATTTCCAACCATTTTTAATGTGGTTTTACTGTAACGCTTCCTAAGTTTGTGACTTGACAACGCTTAATGATTCTATACAGAGGTGTTGGTTACTTAGACAGACTTTCTGTTGTAGGTGGTATATTTACAAACCTGTCTAAGAAGGTTTCAGTTCTCTTGGACCAACACTTGAATGAGGAGGTTTCTCGTCAGCTACTAGAGGATGCCCCTGTTGGAACCAAGTCTGATCTCATTATAGAGAATGCAGAAGAGGGCTCACTTAGTATGCTGAAGAAATGGCCAGACATGAAAAACAAGCTAAACATTTGTCTAAACCAGGCACTACCTCCTCCCCTGAGACAGGTGGCCTGGAGACTCTATCTCACCAACAGTAGAGGTACACATGATCGATAAACTTATCTATTAGATTAAATCTTTCTTTGTATTCTGATTGTCTCCCTTGCCCATAGCACCATTGGCTACTGTTTTTAAACCATCCTCTGCTAGAATTCTTTCTCTTTCTGTGGTCATTTTAAATATATCATGTCCCCATACTTCAATGCTATGACTTACATATGTATATAATGACACTCCTTGTAATTGCAGACTTTGAGCCTTTAAAATTATCTTTATAAATTCACAGTCCTTCTTTTAATAATCTTATCCATTCATGCAAGATATTTTCATGTTTTTCATTCAGGTGAATAAATTGGATTTTCAAAATTATGAATAATACTGAAGTTTGATTGATCAAACATCCTTATCTAAAATTATGGCCAAAACTCAGGAATCTTGCTTCCTAAATAGAAAAATTGTGCTCTCCATTACTACTCTTTCATTCCCTCACCTCACACAACACAGTCCTTTTCAAGATTCACCTCCTTTCTGGACTTTTTCCATCTGTATTTGACTCACATTATTTACATCTCTACATCCATTCCTCACCACACTGCCACTCTGGTCCAAGATTCATCATATTTTTCTTCCTAGAAATTTTATCATTTTTATTCTTGTCTGGCTTCTTTGATATGTTTAACATATGAATTTTATATATTTTGACAGTAAGAAAGCAGTATGTTGACCAACTGAATAGTAATCCAAGGGCAGCAATCTCCCCATATGACCTTGAGATATCCCAGAAATGTGAGGCACTGATAAATACAGAGTCGACTTTTGCTGATCTTAAAGGATCTGTGGGTAAGGCTTATTACTAGGTCAGTGTTTTGAAACCATTGCCATATTTTTTACCTTATCATTGCACTTGTTTTTATGTAGAAATGATCTTCTGGCAACTGCTACGTTAGGTACTAGGCATTCATTCAGTTTCTTTGTCTGAAAGTAATAGGTTTGTACGTTCATTTTCAAAATTTGTAGGACAAGAAATAACCTGGTATTTGTGGTGGGCTAACAATTTTTACAAAGATGGAAAATGAATAAAGAAATGAAACAAATAACGGAACGTTCAACCAAAGAAAAAAATTCTTATTTTTGTATACATACATACCTGACATTTTAACAGTGATATGAAAAGTAGGATGACATATATGATGTAGGGGGCTGAGGTGGCCAAGTGATTAAGGCCTCTGAATGTCTTTTATCACTGGCCCTTCACCTCCTCGTCACAGACATGAGTCTTACATAGGGCAGTCACCAGGTACTGACTATAGGTGATTTTTCTCTAGGAAATCTGTCTTTTCTCCACCAACAAAACCTGGCATTTCTGTACTTGTTCAGAATAGTCACCTACAAGGGAATTTTTATTGTCTGATAATGAAGATGTAATGTGTTGGTATTCTGGGCTTATAGGCCAGTTATGGTATACAGATGAGGAAGAAGCAGTTTATCACTGTACAGGTGACAAAGAATTTACCATTGTGCTTTGATTCTTACCAGGGTCATTTTATGCCATGAAAGCTGTTTTGTCATACTACCATGCATCTCTGAAGACCAAGAATAGGCTTCGAGATGTAGACCATCTCCTTGTCGTGCCATTTGTGAAAGTGAATGAACCCAACATGCCAAAGTAAGCACTATACCTTTTTAATGGTTTATATTTTCACATTTTTTTATTCCAAGAATTTAAATCAAAAAGGTTTTTTTACCTTCTGGCAGTCATGAATCAGACTGCCAGGCTAACTCTATTGACATCACTCTCAATGTATCTATTTTATAGAATTTAAATGCCATCCTGAAAAACACCCAAAACTAAAACCCCTCAAAATTAACAGATTTAAAATATATAAAATCATAACATATGACAGCTTAGATTTACTTGCTCATCTGCTGAAACTTGTAAGAAATTTACACCACATAGTCTTAAAAGTTGTAGACCGGGTATTTGGTTTGTCATTTTCACATTAATATTTGACTTCATGATGACATATTTGAAAATTATTGGCCTTAAGTCGAGGTCATTAACAGCAAGCTATGTTTTGTATATATGACACCCTACAATATTTATCATATACATATGTATATTGTACATGTATATCGGTCTATTACCACAAAGAAATCTATAAATTATGATACAAGTTGAGTGGAGTCTGAAATTAATACCTCAAAATCAAAGTGACATTAGTCAGACTTTTTGTTACATGGATGATAAAGACATTTTCATAGGTGTATTTAGCATAATTGCAGAGTGCTTAAGAGATGCTTAAAACAAATTAGAAACAAAAAATAGGAACCAAAAATACCGTTCCCCTCTCCGTCTTGACTTTGAATTCTGACTTTGAAAATCAATATCAAATAAATGTCAGTTTGAACAATCTTTCATCAGTTGCTATGTAGATTGTTATGTTGTGTTTTATGACATACTCTGTTTCACATATTACAGACGCGAGCCTCCTGCTGGTCGAGTGATTGCCGCATTGGTGGAGCAATACATTTCTTACATGGATTCTAGGCCAGGCTTTGTCACAGACACTGGCTCTGATGTAGGTCACTGTGATCTTTATCTGTAACACTGGAGTAGAACATATATTTACCAATATATATTGTCATTAGCTCTAAATAGTAAACAACAGAGATTGAAATTAATGTCATTATTAGATAGTTATGTATATAATTATTAAGTTCCTTTCCCATTTGTATAAGGGATAGATTGGCATAAGTTTATATTCTGATTGCATTTCACTTCCAAAGAAAAGAATTTATCACAAATATTTCATAAAATGAAAGCTATCAAAAAGACCCATTAAATTACTCTAATAATTAAAATCACATTAATACATTTTTCAATGAAAAGTTAATGGTTTTTGGATATTGAAGTGAATTTTAGAAAGCGTATTCCAAATATCTATATGAAATTAAACCTAATAAATTGTAATTGAATTAATGTAAGATTCAGACTTGATTTCAATCCTAAATATAATATATATATGTGTTATTTTGTTTAATTATTGAATGAATATTGTTGAAACTTACAAACATTAACATTATGTAATTCTCTCAAATATAGGCTCAATAATGTTTGACGTTTTTTGACGAACCCATTGAATTCTTTGTTCCTGTAGAAACATGAAGATGAGATGGTAGCATTTGTAGACAAAGTGGCTAGAGAATTACAGGAGAAGTTTCCAAGTGTGGCCAGGGCTATTGTCAATAATGTTGTCAGCACCAAGGGTAAGACACCTCTAACAAGTAACATTTAGCTTCCCTCAGATATAGGAAAATTTATAGTACGGTTACATATTGTACATCTGAACTAAGATACATGAGCACAATTAAAGTCACTCTGTCATCTCATTGGATGGAATGACATCAAAAACTTGAAGTCTTCACAAAAAATTGTTATAAATCATCAGGTTTGAGGCACCTAGGATGAATACAGCTCTGTATTTCACAAATGGAAAATATGCTTTCCCTTGGTATTGAAAAGCAGGGCCTAAAACTGTTAAATAATATATAAAACTACTTTCAGTGAGATTTGAAAAAAAAATCAGTTTCTTAAAGATCCAGCTAAAATAAATCCAGATAGGTGCGGTCATTATTTGTTTTCTTTTTAAATTCAGTTTCACAACAGTAAATATAACATTAGATCAAAACTTATACTTACTAAATGAAAATGATTATTGGTGATAATTACTATTCAATAAATTTGAAAAATTAGATAATATTTTATTTCATTTGAAAATTAAGGTCTTTTGTAACATGTTAAACTACATTTAAAAGTCCTGATTATTTATATAATGAAAATATAATAAAAGTTATTCTTCATCTGTTTAAACAAAACAAAAATTACAGAGGAAAATAATAAAAAATATGTTCTTGAATTTCTATGAATTGTTCAGCAAAACACCTCATACAAACTTATCTTTTCTTATATATCTTTGAATACAGAAAAGATTGTGGAAACGGAGACTGGTAAATATGCACTGTTGATGGAAGGTCTCACCTCTCTTGTCCGTCCTGTGATACGTGGCATGTTTGTCAGTGAGTATCGCTTCTCCAAAATCTTGTGCTTATTGCATCATATCTGTTGTTTGAGTGTATGGAACTATATGTAGGAGGAAATTGGGGTGCTTCTGACATTTTACTAAGTGGTGAAGGTGACACTATCATTTTATAGTCCTGTGGAAGGTTGAACTTGGGCACCTAGGTGTTAAGCTAGTATGACTACTGTGCTATCTGACCAGGCAATATACACTTAATGTAATATAATATGGAATCCTTGAACTGATACTAATTTGTTTTAATTTTGTTAAGAACAAATTTACCTGTTATCAACTTACTCAATGATATTGATTTAGGACAGCTTGGATGGATTTTTTTGTTTTTTTTGTTTTGTTTACATAATGATATAAAGTAACTTTTTCTAATTAAATAAGCAATTATCATCTTACTTATAGGAGTTTGTGTAACTCTGTTGAGAAATAATGTATATCTGATTGATAAGATTGGCCTTTGATATTCAACAGTGTATGGCTAGTGTATATGGTCTGTATGACCTGTATCTATGGGGGAGGGGAGTGGGGTTGGGGAGGGGTTGATGAATCTGATATCACCAAACATTTACACTCAGTAGCTTGTCATATAATGTATATCAACAATATTTTATATCATCAACTTAACATAGCGGTCTTGATAAATTTATCAAACCAGATATCCTAAGTGGAAAAATTACTATCTTTATGAATATTGAGCTAATCTGTTTACGTGTACATTATGGAGTTACTTCCCCTTATCACAGTGTATCACATCTATGTAAATTATATGTATTTCTTACAATTCTGATCTTCAAAACGGTACTAATCATCAGATTTTGCTAACTTACTTAAAGTGAAAGCTCAGATTTGAAATTCATTATCATTCTGATAGGAATGGTAGGATACTCAGTCATTCATTTTGAAAGTATTGATTTAAAGAGAGGAGAAAATCTCCTAGGAATACATCAGTCTTTCCCTCATTCTTCATGTTCTCCTCCTCCATATTAACTCCTGAATGTATACAATTACTCTGAGATATATGTAAATTTTATACCTATTCCTCTCTTTGTTTGATAGCTTACCTTAACTTTGACACACTTCTGTATGTATGGGACCAGTATATGATCGGATCAAACACTCCAGGCTTCCACACAGAATGGCTGACCAACGTAACACTCGTGTTTCTGGGACTTCTCAGAGAAAAACTTAAAGATGCATCATCGGTAGTGTTTCATCAAAAATTTATCCTCAAAGGACTATAAAACTTTAAAACCAAAATTTTCCTTACTATTTTTTAACCAGTTGATAATGTATAGAAAGTCAGTCAGAAAATCTAAGCTGTTTTTCGATAACTTTTTTTCCTCTGAAGAATTGATAAAAGACTCTTCCGAATGAATCTGGATTTATAGCAATTTATTATAGTAACACAATTAATCTTCAGATTTGATTTTCAAAAAAGGATATTTTCAAAATTAATTGAAATGTTTGAAATACATGATACTATTGTTGATTGATATATCTAAACAACGTTTTGCAGATAAACATTTTATTTAGAAATTTAGAACAAAATTATCCAAATTAGAAATAAAAGAAATGCATTCACTAAAGGTGAGCAGATGGTACATAGAATTATAGGTAACTTGTAGCAAATATGGGCTCAGACCTTTTGCAGAGAAATTTATTTAAAATCATTTTCTTCCTCTTTTAACAGGCAGGGGAGATGGAAAAAACCCTTAAGATAGAGGGACCAAGACTAATGATTCCACAGTTTCAATATGAGGTCAGATTGTAAAGTATTCTGTATAATCAAGTGTTCATCATAGAGAAGTGCTTCTTATTAGGGTAAAACTTCCGATCATTTAAAGGGATAAACTGATAGTAAATTGCTCATATAAATATAGATGAAAATATATTTTTAGTAGGTTTTTACTGAATCATATTACTATTCCATTTGTTACCACGGTGAAAGGAACTTTGGTTTGTGAAGGAATTACAGCTGAAAGCAGAGTTTTGATTGGCTACCATCTTAGAGATGATCAATATTGTATAATTTAGTGTGTAGAACTTATTCTGCTTTCTATAATGTATGATTTCGTATATTACTTCATAGATAAAAAGACTGAATTATGTATACAGAAATTTTATTTATTTGATCTAATTTTTACAAAATTATCTGTATCCTGAGTAAATTCATCGACTATCACACAGTATATGTTATGTCATAAGGGTATGTCTAGATATTTTTACTTTGATTTTACTTTCAGTTCTCTAATGTTTATGTTATATTACTGCATTGTACTACAGGTTAAGACTGACCACTTCAAGACGCTATACTCAATGTTACAACAAGATCAGAAAGCTGCCATGCCTGTGCTGGATCCTACACAGTGTAAGTATTTACTGTTAGTCTTCAAAAATCATTTATTATCCATGCCAAATTTGTCGTGTTATAAGTCTACTGGTGAACACATAATCTCGGCTTCAAAGTAACAGAGTTATTATTGTTTTATTGCTAACAATGGATTTTGTAATTCGTATTTCTGCAGACCTGAAAAAAATTACATTGGACATGAATTTATTTGTATCAAGACCAGAGCCTGATTCATGAAACCGTTCTCATGCTCAAGCATGAGTTTTGTGCTCAAAGCTTTATGTCTTGTTTAAATTAAAAATTAATAGATAAGGCTAATTTTGCCAAAGATTTAAAAACAATTTTGAAAGGAATAAAGTCAAAGCTATATTCAAGGTTTATATTTGATTATTTTATATGATTTAGGTGAATTATAAAAAAGTTGCTTGAGCACAAAATTTATGCTTGAGCATGAGAATGCTTTCATGAATATGGGCCCTTGAGTTATTGCCATTAAGATACAATGTTCATTAAAGATATTTATGTAAAAAGGTCATAAGTTATCAAAATTTATGTATAACATTTAAAGGTTATATATATTTTTAAAAAGCCTGAAACTGTCCATGAGTTTTTTAATCCTATAAATCATTTGTGATATTCTCTGTCTGTATTGCCTCCAGCTCAACACCCACCATGGCGTCACTGGTACAACGATGTTATCCCGCCTTACACCAAACCCCAGGAGCGGCGTCGTGCCCGAGAGGAGAGGGAAGCTGAGCGAGAGAGGTACCATACCATACCATACTGATGGTTTTCATTATTGAAATCATCTTAGCGGTGTATTTGTAGCCTCTATTGTCATGTCATGATAAATAAGTATATGATGTCATGTCAGGCACGTCAGTTTTGATGGATGAGGTGATTGTTTTTTCTTTAACAAAGTTTCAGACTTATATGTGTGAAATGTGAACTGCTACAAGACTTTATTTGTGAATTATTAGTGGCACAGTTGAACTGAACTTGTCAGGAGGCTGTGATGTGTTAGTCAGTGAAGTGTCGACCCACACAAACTCAGGTAATGATTCTTTGTGTGTAGTTCAACACTCCTTACCATTGACAGGGCATGATTCTCAGGGAGTTGAGAAATAGACAGGTCTATGTTGTCAAGGTTACATTCTTACTCCAATCACACTGGATCGGCCTTTCACAGGTTGTTAACGCTACTTCAAAGTGATCCCAGCTGAAAATGACCCTGGCTATTCACGGACTAAAAAAACCCAACAAGCAAAAAACATGAAGTTCACAAAATCACAAATTTGTATTTTTCAGAATGGCACGTATGCAGAAGGACAATGAAATCAGCAAACGAGAGTTGGCAATCAAGGAACGAAGGTTAGTGTGTCTGCTATGGTTCTTAATATGGATCAGTTGCACATCCCTACACCTGTCAAATGTAGATTTTATTGTGTGAAGAGATTACCAGACACACTTAGTAACATATCCTGATACCGTTTGTTCTCCCAAGAGTGATTGAATAACATCACAAGTTGTCACACATTTTGTCAGAGTAGGTAATGTTCTATGTGTGTAGAATATCTATATATTGTGTCACTTATAGTTTTACAAACCAGCCTTCCTGCATTCTTAGGGACAAATTATCAAACCATTTTTAATTTAAATTACCTGCCATACTTGAGCTTAACGGATACTTGATCCCTGTTAATTGTTTAACCTTTATATACACTATCAATGCTTTACATGAATTTAAACAAAGAACATTTTGCATATGCTGGAAGTAACCAACACTTCATATGATAATTTAACATCCTGAATATATTTAATCAATCAGGCTTCGACATATAAGGTTTGTTTGTTTCATCAATAATTGTTTTATGTTTGACTCGATTCTGTTCACTGTTCAACAAAAAGGATGGATTTAGTTTGCCTTATGAGGATACAATCTCCAATTGATCATTTCATTTTTTCTTTAAGTTAATGTGATTTTTTTTCCTAATTTGACTCTATTGTTCATTTTACAATTCAATTTTCCTTTACTTCTATTGCTTTTTTCCATGTAGAATGTAACTTTAGCCTTACCAGGGTCTCCTACCAGTTTTATACAGAAATCCGTTGACCACATTTCAGTTTTCTAAAGTTATCATAGACATCAAAAATCAGCTTTAAGAAGTTGTGTTTAGCTCTGCTTCAGTGATTCAACGTCATTGTAATGGTGGAATGGAGAAGATTGGTTATGAGTAGAGACGTGTTTCAGTCTGGATCCTGTTCCTAAATTCTACATTTGGGTGTAAAATTTCCATATTTCTGTATCTCTGTAACAGTTTAATTGGTTTTAATTATCTACATATTGTCGTGGTAAACATCAACAAGGAGTGTAAAAAATCAGCAATGAATTATTCATGAAGAAACTTCATTTTACTGCAGATAAAATTGATCTTATCTTCAGTGAAAAATGACCGGTCAAACTATATTAGGAAAGCTTATGGGCTTATATATGAACAGCTCTCCTCCTCTCCCCTGAATGAAGTTTGAAGTTTGGGGTGGATAATATCACACAGTAATAAATAGATATCCAAGTCTTGATTTTTGTTTCAGGAAAACCAAATTTAACACATTCACAATTTAGAGCTTGGATATGTGTTTTTCAATCCTTCACTATACCCTGTTTGAAGCACTTTGACACATTTTGTTTCAGTCAATCTTCCCTTTCCCGTTCTGAACCACCTATTATGTAAGCTAATGTATCTTGTCAGTCTGTGTGTGTAGTGTGACATGTATCCAGGGATAACCATTTGTGTTGGTGTGGAATGCCAAAAAAAACAAAAAAAAAATTATATAACCTATATTCAGAAATTTAAACTATGTTTTAATGTATTATCATATAAAAGTTTGAAGTTTTTACAAATTAAGAAATAACTATGCCTCCATGGTCATACTTTAAAAAAATTGTGTTTGATATTGCAACTTAATCCAAAATCAGGTTTTCATTAATGCCTCAAAATTGAGCTCACTTGACACTGTGCTTACTTGGATTGTCTATTCTTTGTTCATGTGTTTGTCCCATATACTTACCATGATTGTGGTTTTGTGAGGTGTTAACATGGGACTGATATTGGTGTGTGCTGTTAATGTTTTGTACAAACAATGACTTGAAAAAAAAACCATAAATGAAGGTTTTATTAAGGATATAATATGGTGGATTGGCTATCTATTGTAAGAGTAAGTTCAGCATTATTATAACAAATTTCACTTAATCTTCCCAGTTCAGCTGTTTACCTGTGTATGTGTTTCTGTGAATATTCTCAAAGAGATATATAGGAATACAAACTACACAACCTGTGATAATTGACATGAGTGATGAATGATTTGCCATCATGACTTTATATTTAGATATTTCACTCCTTTATTATTTAATTTTCTAATCTATTTAAGATTCTAATAAGATAATAAAATATACAATCATCAAAACAACAATAATTTATGGTATTCTGTGGGTATTCAAATAAACTGGAAAATATATAGAGCAGTTGTACATATCCTATAGACATTAATAATGATCTCTCTTTTATAATGTGACTATGTTTTTTTTTATCAATTTGGTGTTTAGGGAGGAAGATGAGGAATACCAGAGAATGGCAGCAGGGGAGAGACAGAGGTTAGAAATGGAGAGGATGAGACTGGAGGAGATGGTTCAGGAGGTACACATGATGAAAACAAAACATCTTGTCATAGGGAGAATTAATAAGATAAATCTTGAAGGGGGTTGTGATAGATCAGACAGTAGAGTATTTAACTATGCTCACTCAGATGAAAACCTGAATGATGGGGTTTCATCTCTACCTGTGGAGTGTGTGTTTCTCAGGTGCAGATCTAAGACAAGGGGTTCAATCTCTACCTGTGGAGCTTGTGTTTCTCAGGTGCAGATCTAAGAGTAGGTGTTTGATCTCTATCCGTGGAGCTTGTGTTTCTCAGGTGCAGATCTAAGAGTAGGTGTTTGATCTCTACCTGTGGAGCTTGTGTTTCTATGGAAACTGAGATCACGGATCACCCTATGGTGGTGTGGTTGTGTCCTTAGACAAGAAATTTTACCTCAGTTGCTGGCATGATTGGGCCTCAAGCATGCTGTTCAGTGAGGTAGCCACCTGTCTGACTCAGCATTAACCTGGCTGTTCACAAGGCAAATATGAGGATATGTTATTTCTGCTCAAAGGTTGATTTTTATATTCTTCTCCCACATAATAATTTCCTTTTCTTTCATCTTGGAAGAAACATTAAACGTAAGATAATCATTTAACTTCTGCTGTGTGTTGGCGTTTTGATTCTTAAAATGTCATTTACACTTTAGCAGTAATAAAATTAAAGCTATTTATTTTTACAAATATTAAAATACGCACTAAATTATGATTAAACTGTTAAGGACAGTCATATATAAGATGCATTTCTCTGACTCTTACATTTAACTAGAATGTTTTTGCATTCCAAGCATGTCATGTAAAACCTTTTAGAGCTTAGTAAAAGATCTTGGTTGGTTTTGTATCATGGGTGCCATTTGTTCTGTGCAGGAACGGAGAAAGAGGCTGCAGGCTGAACAGAGAGCCCAGGAGGAGATAGCACGTCTTAGAATGGAGGTATCTGCCCTTGGTTATACCAAACCGGTAAGTGTCATGTGTTTTTTGGTGAGTGTCATAGAACAAAGGTAAGAATCACAAATTCATTGTCGGCAAAATAGGTGAGGATAACTTATGATAAATACTAAGTGTCACATTTCAGCCTTAGAGAGTCACATCCAGCTGGTGAGTGTTACATTTAAGTCTGAGAGTGTCACATTTCAGCTGTTGGGTGTTACATTTCAGCTGATGAGTATCACATTTTAGCTGGTGGGTGTCACATTTCAGCAAGTAAGTCACATTTCAGCTGGTGATCAGTGTTAGATTTCAGCTGATGAGTGCCACATTTCAGCTGCTGATTGTCACGTTTCAGCTGATGAGTGTCACATTTCAGCTGATGAGCGTCACGTTTCAGCCGATGAGTGTCACATTTAGCCAGTGAGTGTCACATTTCAGCTGATGAGTGTCATATTTTAGCCAGTGAGTGTCACGTTTCAGCTGATGAGTGTTACATTTCAGCTGGTGAGTGTCACATTTTAGCTGGTGAGTGTCACATTTAGCCAATGAGTGTCACGTTTTAGCTGATGAGTGTCACATTTTAGCCAATGAGTGTCACATTTTAGCTGGTGAGTGTCACATTTAGCCAATGAGTGTCACGTTTCAGCTGATGAGTGTCACATTTCAGTCTGTGTCACACGTCAGCCATTGGAGTGTTGTATTAAAACCTTTACTGTCAAATAGATTTATTATCATGGAAAACATGCAGTTGTTGTAGATTCATTTATTTCCATGAGCTTCAACTTACATGGTTTAAGGAAAAAAAAACTGTGGATATACATATCTAACCCAATAAATTTACAGATACTAATTTTAACAGCATATTGATATTATTTGAATTTATGGACTGAGAGTGCCCATGAAATCAATGATAGTAAATCTACCAAGAAAATTAATAATTTGACATTAAATGACTTGTTGATAATGTATTTCAAAGCCATATCCAATCAGAAATTTTCATTTTCTTCATGTGCTTTTTGATCACAGGATTTCTGCCTCTTTTGCATATCTCATTCATCAATGACAACATAGCTCAATAGGTTTAGTTTTTGATTTGCTCGTCTGGTTTTTTTCACAGAGATCTCGTGCCTCAACAGGAAGATCCTCAGTTGTTATCAGGTAAGTTACAGGAAATGGTGCTTACCATAGAAATGGTTGTATCCATGGAAACAGATTTCCATAAATGAAAGAAGAACTCAAGAACTTAAATTTTTAATTGATTCTTTACTCAAATCAATTTAATATCACATCTGTCAGGTCACTTTGGAGGCAATATATATATATATATCAACTAAGTTTGTCTTAAAATAACTACATACGCTGTTTAGTTGAGACCACCCATAGAGTCAAAAACTCTTACTCACTAATTCCATTTAAGCCAAACTTAAATTATATCATGACACAACATTTTGAGAAATCCTTTGTGTGTTTTTATTTATATCTTTTAATCTTGCAACATGCCCAGAATGAACATTAGAAATATATCTGAAATTTGAAGTGACAATATTTATTTATAGTCGGTTCTGTGTGGCGCCCCCACCTACACGGGTATCAACCCCAGAGCCACTACCTACCATAAAAGAGGATAAACGAGCTCCGACTCCTGCCAAATCCCCAGACAACCAGACTCGCGAAGTTCTCATAGACTTCTTACAGAGAGTGAAGCTTGGAGCAGACAAAAGTAAGATTTCTAATTGTTTGATTTTTAATTTACGAGTTTTTATTCTGAATAGGTACATGGTCAATTTTCAGTCATTATACTGGTATACTGGAATCAAGATGTTCATCTTCTTAATAGACACCTAATTCTGAAGTTATTTCAGTCTGAGGGTTGTTTCATCTGTGATATAGTTAAATGTTTTGAACTCTATGGTCATATCGGCATATAAAACAGAATTTAACTCCCTTTACCTTCGATAACCTGTGTTGTCCACTGTTTGGCCTTTAGTTGCCCATGGCCAAGGAGAAGACAAGGCAGAGCTTGATAGAGAGACAGATGGGTATCTCCAACAGAATGTCAAGGACATCAAGCGGGCACAGGTAGGTAACTCAAGGTGATAGGCTACTGGTATCAAGGTCATTTGTAGCAAGCTTAAAAAAGTGTAAGAGCAAACAGAGCTGTGCTGAGATCCAGAAAATTGGTGAAAACATATTTTGAAGGCTGGGGGTAAGGATTTTAATGTGGAAAAAAATTCCCAGAGACAAGCCTTGCCTTAGGCAATGTAAGAGTTCCATATCTCTGTATAGAGACTAAAAGATTCTCTTTATCATGTACATTCCTCAGCTTTTTTCCAGAAAGTTACATTGTTACAGTAACAACACATTCAGTTGTTTTTTTACCTCAGTCAACAATATTATTAAATACAATGTATATATGTTTACAGAGAGACATACTTGGCCACACGTTAAAGCCTGGAGAATTTGACCGGATGTCACCTACTTCACAACAGAACATCAGTGAACAGATGATGAAGATGATGCAGAAATGGAGAGAAGACAGACGAGCTCGAGAACTTCAACAGACACCAGGCAGTCGCAAAAACTCACGCAACAAATAGAACTCATGATATTTCGCAAGCTCTAGTCTTTGAGTACAGTATGAAGGAAGTCTAGAAAGCTGTGTGAAACACATTACATGAAGCTTGACTAGATTTCTGGAGAATCATCAAGTATGATATCTGCTACAGGTTTTGTGATAAAAAGTTACAAGGATAAACGTTTTGCAACATTATTTTTTGTCACATTCTCTGAAAAAGTATTTATGAATGATAGCATTTCAAATCCTATATATTGATGGAAAATTCACACTTACATGATATGGTTTGAAAAATTTATTGTAAAACACATTTAAAAGAAGTCTTATTTGTAGGATGGAAAAAATGATTTTTGAGAGTTTGGCTAATTATGAAATTCCAGAATGTTGTATTGGTTATGTGTCATTGTAGTTGTTGTAAGTAACACAAAGATACAGTATTTAGAACAATGGTAATTTCACTGAGTAACATCTATCACTGCTGTTTTACAAGATTCATGCATATATTTAGTAGAATGTGTTGGTTCCCAATGCCAAAATGAAGATATTTTTCAGTCTTTAATAGAAAGTTTTCTATATGCTTGATTAATCATTCGCTGTGAAAATATTCATTGTTTAACAAAGTCTTTTATAAAATAGTGAAATATTTTTGCTACAGTTTAAATGAAATTGAAAACAAGTTTTGATTGGTGAATAAGTGAACAGGGTAATATTACCTGATGTATATGAATTCTAACTTCTGAACACTTGACTTCACAAAGGTCACATTCCAACAACCTCCAAATTATATTGTCATAGAAACAGGTCAGATGACTTTTGTGATAGGTATTTATTTCACACCTTTTGTTAGAAAATTCTATTTCAAAAATCACAAAAGACATGTTCTTAGCTGTGATTGACTGGTTCTTTATTTCACACACGAATTAATTATTTTATTACAGATTCATTGTAGATGCCATAGATATTGTTGTTTACTAGTCAAACTTCTGTACATATCAGTGTGTTTGTTCTGTGCTAATATTTTCTCAAATGTTGTCAACCGAAAACTAAGATCAACACAACTTAAGGTTTTAAGAACAAGATTTCAGAATATTTAATTTTATTATCGAACAATGTTGATGATTTTTTGTGAAAAATATTTCTTGTTTGCCCTGTCAACTTTCAAAGTTCTGTCTCTTTTAATGCCTGTGTTAGTATACTGTGTGCTTTATAGACTGGAAATGGATGATGTAGAATATCTGACCATTTTTTATCTGTTTTGTTTGAATTCTATTTTTAGTTTCTTGTGTACATAATATGAGTATTTCTTCTATCAGTCATTACTGGCAAGTGTACATGTGATATTTTTCCTTGTGATTTTGTAAAATTTTTTGTAAAATATTTTTTAATTGACAGACAAGCAAGATAGATGTTTACTAGATAATCCGTCCACTGTGCTGTGACAGGCATCATCTTATATCCACTGTACACATACTTGTTAATATAGAATGTAAAAATATATTTTTGATTATGTTCATTCCTTTCATCATCACTGTAAGAACTGTAGATTTGTACTCAATTGTTTTTCTGTGAAGAGTGTTACTTACTAAAATCAGGTCACATACTATTTAATGACAGATTTATTGCTCTTTATTTATAACATACAGAACTACACTCCTTTATCTACTATACCATCAACAGAATTATGGCCCGTTGTGTATGATGCAATATGCAAAATTATGGCCTTTAATTTATTGTGAAGTATTCCTAGTTATTGCCCTTTATTTAACATTCAATAGACAGAGTTATAGTCCTTTATGTATCACACATAGACTTTTTGCCCTTTACTTACTGTGCGGATTTAACATTCAATAGACAAGAGTGATAGTCCTTTATGTATCACACATAGACTTGTTGCCCTTTACTTACTGTGCAGAATACAGAGTAATGACCCTTTATTTAACATTCAATAGACAGAGTTATAATCCTTTATGTATCACACATTATAGACTTTTTGCCCTTTACTTACTGTGCAGAATACAGAGTAATGACCCTTTATTTAACATTCAATAGACAGAGTTATAGTCCTTTATGTATCACACATTATAGACGTGTTGCCCTTTACTTACTGTGCAGAATACAGGGTTATGATCCTTTATTTTTGCACACTGTACAGACTTATGGCCCTTTATCCATTATAGGGTTTATTACCCAGTCTTACAATTTGTTCACAATAATACTTTCATCATCACATTGATATTTTTTTTCCTGCTCAGATAACAATGTGCACAGAAATTTTCATATATTTAGTAGACAGAGTTATGGCCCTTGCACCCATGTGCAATTGGCATATAAATAAATAAATACAACCTTAAAACCTGACTTCCAGGTCCTTTTTGTTGAATACACAACAATAAATTTGAAGTATATGTTCATCTTTCTCACCAAAACATATTTATTAAATTTTATCCTGTTTGCAGAAACAGCACAAACATGGGATATAGTCTGCAAAATGTTTAAAAGGTTTTAGCCTCTTTATGCTGATTTAGTACCTGTCTTTCCTTTAAGGTTGAATAACACTGCTTTACCTGTCTTTCCATTAAGGTTGAATTACACTGCTTTACCTAGATTCTGTACCGTCTTTTCCTTTAAGGTTGAATCACACTGCTTTACCTGTCTTTCCTTTAAGGTTGAATCACGCTGCTTTACCTGTCTTTCCTTTAAGGTTGAATTACACTGCTTTACCTGTCTTTCCTTTAAGGTTGAATTACACTGCTTTACCTGTCTTTCCATTAAGGTTGAATTACACTGCTTTACCTAGATTCTGTACCTGTCTTTCCTTTAAGGTTGAATCACACTGCTTTACCTGTCTTTCCTTTAAGGTTGAATCACGCTGCTTTACCTGTCTTTCCTTTAAGGTTGAATCACGCTGCTTTACCTGTCTTTCCTTTAAGGTTGAATCACGCTGCTTTACCTGTCTTTCCTTTAAGGTTGAATCACGCTGCTTTACCTGTCTTTCCTTTAAGGTTGAATCACAATGCTTTACCTGTCTTTCCTTTAAGGTTGAATCACAATGCTTTACCTGTCTTTCCTTTAAGGTTGAATCACACTGCTTTACCTGTCTTTCCTTTAAGGTTGAATCACACTGCTTTACCTGTCTTTCCATTAAGGTTGAATCATGCTGCTACAGTGGATCTTAGAAATTCATTGTGACGTAGGGAGATGGTAATAAGAATTTATATTTAGAGAAATATTACTTATACATTCCAGTATTTACAAATTTTTGGTGTATTAACAGTTAACAATTTACAGTTAACAATCTCCATTCATATGACCATTGTGAGGAATTTTTGAGGTTTTTATGTTGTTTTTGCAAATTCAGCATGTACAGCAGTTTGATCCCTCAATTTCTTCTTTATTTCTTTATTAGGTATTTAGATAAAACATTGACTTTTCATAGAAAATATCACCAAAAATTCACTTTCCAACTTGGTGTAATGGAGTTCAATTGTTATTACACTGTATAAGATACTTTTTTTCTAAATTCTACATAAGTCATTAGGTCACTTTTTAGTTCAGTTGTGATAATTTTCATTATATATAGTCAAACTTGTCTTAAAGGTCACCTTTATACAAAAGGCCATCTGTCTATACAGGCTGCATTTTGGTTGCCTATGTAATGTAATTCATAGCAATAAAACCTCTATATAAAGGTCACCTGTCTATAAAGACCAGTTTTCTTTGCTTCCTTGAGTGGCCTTTATAGACAAGTTTGACTAGTTATTTCCTAATTAAAACACCATTTAAATCTACATTTAAGATTTTCGCTCATGTGACATCTGTTTCCATTCCATCAGAGATGTACAAACATATCACAGAAGCTGACATTTAATAGTCTGTTAAAAAGGGTCATATACATTTTCTTTTTTAAAGATTTATTTAAGAACAAATCTTTTGATGTTGCCATATTATGCATATATATATATGACGTGTTTTCAAGGTTGATTCCCTTTCATTTGTTGCTGTCTGTAAGCCATTGTTGAATGGTAGGTAACTGTGATAGATACAAGATATCTGTTCTTCCGTCCGACATAACTCCATGACATTAAAGATATATCTATATACACTATATATACACAACTGTGTTGTATCCAGATTAACAATACATGTTTTGTCTTCCATTATTGTGTTTCGTGTCATTTCTTTAACGGGCTCAACATGTCCTGCCTAGTCTGTATGTAGACATTGATTATCAACCGTCTATTGATGACTTTGTACTGCACAGAACTGAAAGGCTTCAAAAAACGCAAACGTCAGCAATGAACTGGCACTTATGGTCCCGATAAATGTCAAAGTTTTGCTGACAAACTTATCATAAATAGACTATTGAATTCTTATGTTCACATTCCGTATCTGACACAATTAACTTAAATAGAATATGTAGTATCTGTGATGTAATTCGTCCAATGGAACAGCTATTTTGACGACGTACCGCCATCGCCGTTTCTATGGCTACAATGCTGACTTCATCGTGAATTGTAAATAGATGTATATCGCCTGTAGCGAATGAAATTCTTAATACATGCTACAGACACTTTTCATCTTGCAGTTGTTTCAATACAAAAAATGGCAGGACGAATCAAATTGTAGCCGCCAAAACAACCGATAGCACATCGACAGGAAGATTCAGTGATTCCACAATTTAATGTATTTGGTTAATTTTGAACATCAAGTACTTTTTAGTTTGTGCGTGAAGGAAGTTGACACAGAAACAGAAGGAGATCCGAAGTTACCTGTATTAAGTACTAGTTTTCCCATTCTGTTATAGATTTGTTTGCGGACTTAGGATTTGCTGATTAATTTCCTGGGCCTAGTAAGCGTCCAAAATCTCGGGTCTTGCTTTCACAGCTCGTGTGATATAAAAGACATACTAATAGTGATTAATTACCACCCACACAACCTGTACTGCTGACTCATACTGTGAAAAAAATCACTCATCTTCGTCAGTCTGGTTATTACTTAGAAGCTATCAGATTCTAGTTTATC